GCTAGGGAGCCTGAAAAACAGGAGGATCAGTACAAGTCTAATCTGTGTAGTGAGACCCTATAGACCCTTACTAAATACATTAAAAAATATTAATAAGCTAGGGTGGGATAGAATGATTAAATGAACCAGATTTTTCTTATTGACGATGATATTTATTGGACCTGGGAGATGCATACATAACAGTTCACTACATGCTCCATCTTTGATTTGAAACTCTTCATAATAATATTTAAAAATTAAGGAAAAGAGAACACAGAAGATAAAATGCAAACAGCAGGCAAGTATTTTACGAAACAATTTTAGAGATGATGTTGACTTGGTTTTCACATCCTTAAAAGGCTAAATAGCTTTTTAAATCTGTAATCTTCAAATAAAGTTTTTATAAATTAAAAAAAATAGCAGCTGTCTAGCAGTGTGTCAAGGAAATTGCAACTACAATTGCTTCCTGTTTTCTGCCTGGTTCTCCCTCACACCACCTTAGCTGTAGCCCCAGATGCGTTCCCCCACTTGCTGAGCCATTGCCACACTGGGTGATGTAGGTCGGGGCAGTTCCCACTTGTGCTTCACTCATGTTTACAGCTTTAACTTACATTTGTTCTGGTCTCCAGTCTTTTTTTCCACCTCTGCATGTGTTCTGTCACTTTAAAATATGCATTGTCATCTGACTAGGTCTTCATCGCAGCCCACTGGTGACTTCCTGTAAGATTTACATCAGGGTTTGAATTTTAAAATGCTTTTGTGTGTTTGTCCTCCACAGCTCCAGGAGGAAGTGTCACATCCACAGGAGTCCTGTCTCTAGTTTTCAGTGATATTCCCCCCATCTACCAGGATGATTTTTATGTTACAGCCATAAATGCTCAGGGAACGTGTAACCACACTCTACATGTCCTGGATGTGGGCTGTGGCTGGGCCCAGCTCTTGTCTCTTTAATTCATTTCATCACTGTGATTCCCTTAAGAAGAAAGAATGAAAACAGGGGCTAACCAGGTGCTCAAGTCACCCGGGGGACAGCACTGTGATCTGAGCCCAGATCACCTGGCGCCAGAGCCTGTGGCCTCTACCTGTGGACAAACGTGTTTCAACAGGTAAAGAACCCTCAGAGCATGACTTGGGGAGAAGCTGTTACTATTCCCCTTTTCCAGTTGAGCACACTGAGATTAAGCAGTGTAAGCCATTTGGCCAGCGTTATTTCATGAGCAAGTGGCGCATGAGGAATACAGGCCCAGCCCTCAGACCCCGTCCTAAGGCCGCAGTGCCAGCCGCTATGCAAAACAGCTGTGCATAAATATTTATTATAACTTAAAGCTCAGGACTGTATCCAGGAGTCACTGCCTGGAGCAACAGATGGCCGCCATAGCAGTTTATGCAAGCTCACTTATACTGTTCATTCTGTGTGTTTAGTTAGGACCTTCTGACTTAAATATAGGTTAAATGATAATGCAAATTCCATGGTTAAGTGGAAAGTATTCAATAAATATTAGTTATTGTAACAGTACAATGTTGTCCTGTAGCTCAGTATTCACTTTTCCTTGTGTTTGTCATAAACGATGTCTCTATCCTACATTCTTGTGGACACAGTGGCAGATAGACCCGTGGCCCCAATCTGGGAATGATGTGCCTAAAGCTTTTCTTTGTGTCGGTCAAAGGCCCATCGTGAGCAGCCTGTCAGGTCATCAGTTTGCTTTGCTCTCCCTCTCTCCTGTTGCCCTTCTGTGGCTGCAAATTTACAGTGGAAGACACCTTCCAGAAGAAATATTTGCCAGAACAGTAACACTCTACCTTTGTATTAGGGAAACAATGCACTTACATGCATAGCATCTACCTTAAAAACCAGTTTCACAGAACACAGCAATTCAAGTTCATGAACAAGCCATAGGATGAACGAACATGTTTCAGGAGCTTTGCCAATAGCCACAGAAGTGGCATTAACTAACAGGACCTGACTAGCACACAATGAAAAGGGACAGTTCCTCTCCCTTCTCTAGGTAGCGGATCATCTACTGCCACCTTGTGGTCAGAAAACATGATGTAGTTATGTATTGAATATACACACATGTAGATAGATAGATAGATAGATAGATAGATAGATAGATAGATAGATAGATAGATAGATAGATAGACAGAGAGACAGACAGACAGACAGACATATTGGCAAAAGCAGGGATTGAACTCAGGTCCTTGCGCTTGCCAGGGAAGTGCTTATTCCACTGAGCCATTGCCCCAGCTCCTGTAGTTGTATATTGATAGGCACTGACAATATTCTTCTTACCAGGGCCAGGGATAGAGCTCAGTGCACAGCACCTTCCTGGTAAGTGTGAAGCCCTGAGTTCAGTTCCCAGCACTAATAAAACAGTGTTGGTACCCATGTGCTTTTTAAAATTTCATCAAATGCACACAAAAATTACAAATCTTCCAGGACTTGTTGCAAAGAATTACATTTTGTATCTTTAAAAAGGTAAGGGCAAAATATATCTCTAGACATTGGTCCCATGCAGCTCTTGAACTTATTAATGTTGGTTACTTTGGTTAGTCCGTGTGCTGCTTGCCTCTCAACTTTCTGGAAGAGGAGGCAAGAAATAGCTGAGTCCACCAAGTAGGAGAGTAGCTGCCTAGGACTTATCAGAAAGCACATTTTTCAAATATACATAAGGAAAAGTAATATGTAATTTCATCTTTTATATAACCTAGCTGAGTGTTTTTCATTCAAAACGAATCTTACATGGTCACAAGTCTGTAGTTAATTGTCTACATTTCGATAGATTCAGATAATTTGCCAAGCTTGGGAGGAGACCCTGCAGAGGCAAGTCACTGGCACGGATACTATAATTTGGTTTTACTTGAATTGTGCATCCATAAGCACTGGAGAACCTTACGCTGCGAAATGTGCAGGAGATGAGAGCGCCCAGGCTGGGTCTTGGGGACAGCAGCATAGTGTGTGTGCTGCTTCCCCTGATTCTACTTTCCTAGAAAAGCCAGGACCAGCACCTTTCCTGTGGGAGCAGAGCTGAGTGGGCTGTGCGAGGTACTGTCACCCTAATATCACAAACTATAGGCAGCAGCAGGATTCACTCTCTTATCTTATTTAAATTTTTACCATAGAGCACCTTATGTAAGAAGAGGTACAGGACAGGGACAAGAACCGAAGTCAAATTGATGACAAGCTTATCAGGGTTCAGTTTTTAAATCATCAGTTGGGCAATGTTTGTAAATATGTAAACAGTTTCTGTAAAATGTGCAAATATAAGGCATTGTGTTCTAGTAACCTATATTAATCTTGCTAGATTATGATCAAAATATGACATGAACCAGCAAGTGAGTGAGACAGGTATCCACTATTTCACTTGTCTTCATGAAGTCTGGTTGCTTTGAATACTAATCAGTGATGTGTGCATACTGTATTTCAGCCTTTGGAGTTAGACTTCTTTTTAATAGCCAGATTCTTTTCAAAAGCCAGATTGATTCCAGGGCTTTTGCAATGCACTGTTTCTCAAGATCTTTTTACTTTTTACTTTGAGACAACAACCAACTAAACTGCTAAATTATCCAGGCTGGGCTAGAACATGTGATCCTCTTTCCTCAGCGTCCCAGAAGGCTGGGATTACAGGCATGCACCCTCACCTTTAGTGAGCCAAGATTATTGTAAAAAAAAAAAAAAAAAACAAAAAGTTAGATAGACAGGCAGACAGACAGACAGATACCTTCAGAAAATTGAGTAAAAACCTGAAGACAACTTATAAACATTGGATACACCTGTTTTATACATGTTTCATTTATTTGTCTTTCCAAGGCTTTTAGGCTTAATATTATAAATATTATCTTGAAAAAATAACAAAAATCGTTATCTGGATGATGATTATCAGATGGTATTTAAAGCAGATAAATCTCATACTTGGGTACCAGGGTGCCAAAGACAGAAAATTCATATCGGCCCAAGAGCAAAATGATTCTTTGTGGCTTATGTCCATTCAGTGCAATGGCAAGCCTGGAGCTTGGCCCTAAAAGGAAAGTGAATTATTCTTCCTTCAGTTTTAGCAAAGTTTAAGGGAACTAAATTGAACACATTCTGGAAATTAAAAATACAATAGAATAATTTTTACTATTAGTATTTTTCTACTGGTAATCAATCTCAGGATCTTATGCTTGCCAGGCAGGCACCATGCTGCACAGCGATATCCCTGGGCCTTGGGATAACTTTGTATCAGTTAAAATTAGAATAAAAACCTAACAGGTGAACGTGAGTGAGTGTGTGTGTGTGTGTGTGTGTGTGTGTGTGTGTGTGTGTTTGTCTGTGTGTGTGTGTGTGTGTGTGTGTGTGTGTGTGTGTGTGTGTGTGTGTTTGAAACAGAGTCTTGCTATATAGTTCTGTCTCAGTCTCCCAAGTTCTGGGATCACAGGTGTGCACCACCAGGCCCTGCTGGTGAGCAATTTAGTTGTTATATGCAAAGAAACTATAAAATTGGTGGCAGGAAATTTCTTTTAAAATCCTGAGTAATGGAGAAAGGAGTAAGGTCTATAGAGAACCAAACTGAATCCCCATGTTTTGATAAAATGAAGAAATAAAACAAGACAGACAGCTACTTCTACTCCATTATGAACTCTTATGGGAGAAAAAAAAATGGGAAATCAACTTCCTCTTGTAGTCCTAGCATTGGTGAGGTGACCAGTTCTCTCTTGTAGGATCGAGTGTTTAGTGAGCTGCTTACATGTGAGGCTCCTCCCCTTCTGCAAGATTTGGAAACATACTTAGAGGACAAAGAGTGGTTCATTGGTAACTCTGTGAGTATGATTTATATTTTTTAAATACCATCAAATACATTGAAATAAAAGAATGAACCAAAAATTCATCTTAAAAAAATGTTGCTCATAGAAAAGAAATAGGTGGGACTGGCAAGACAGTTCAGCAGTCTAAAGCGCTTGCTTAGGCAAGTTTAGGCATGCGCGGAGGGACTTCGGTTGGATCTCCCGCACCACATGCCGAACGAGCCCAGACCCCAGAGTGGGCTGAGCAGGCCACAAGAAGGAAATGGAAGGGAATGGAAGGGAGAGGAGGGGAGGGAAAAGAAGTGCCAAATAGCTCAATATGAAGGTGTCAGAGAAGTGGAGATTAGACCAGGTTACAGGATAGCAGGTACTGGGAGGCTGCGTGTAAGTGAACCTGCCCATCTAATTGTGTGGAAAAGAACTGTGTAGTCTGAAGCACCAACAGGGAACCTCTGGGTGTTGTCCCTCCTTTGTCATCTCCCAAGCTTCTACTATGTACACATTCAGTTTTCATAGAGACGAAAGTTATTTTAAGTTTTCATAATTATCTCTTCAATCAAGAAACTAAGTTTAGCCTGGGGATATAGCTCAGGGACTTAGCACTTGCCTGGCAAGCAAAAGGTCCTGGTTTGATTCCTAGAACCACCCCTAGTTTAATTTTGAAATGATGAAATTATGCCTTTTATGTTCACATTGAAAACAATATTTTTTCTGCCATTTAATCAGGTGACTTGGGCAGATTTCTACTGGGACATCTGTAGCACCACACTCCTGGTCCTTAAATGTGACATGCTGGACAGCTACCACAGGCTGAGCTCTTTGTGGGAGAAAGTCCAAGCCATTCCTGCCATCGCTGGCTGGCTGCAGCAGAGGCCCCAGAGCAGGCTCTAGGTGGCCCATCCCATCTCTGGTTTCGCTGTCCACAGTCATCTCTCACTTCACACATGCCAGCTGCGTCAGCTCCCTGATAACCCTCCACACACTCCCCACCCCATCTCCACCAGGACTTCCACTGTTGCCATACCCTGGATTAAAAAATAGTATTCAGTTTCTAGTGTCTTTATTTCTAAAGAATAGTTTCTTACCACTTACAGTCCCTTGAACTCACTTTTAGCTCTTGAATGCACAAAGATAGTCCTTTCACCACCCATGTATGGGGATTACAACCATCCACCAATAACATTTCACATTTATAACTAAGGAAAAGTAGTATACATATAGACTTAGAAACTTTGCAGCTGGCACTTTAATCTGTCCTTTACATTGAGAATGTGTACGTGATAAGGATTGGTCTGTCACATCAGTGGAAGCACAGAGAGCACAGGGTGCTGTTGAACTGCTTGCTTGATAAGTCCCCTGGATATTTTACAAAAATAAACATACGACAAAAGAACAAAAAATGGGGTCAGATTCAAAGTAAATGTGAGTGCAGTCTAGGAAAGGAGCTGCGTGTGTCTGGCATACAACACTCCTGGACCCTGGAGGCCGAGCCCAGGCCTATGCACTGAGCTATTATTTTTTTTTAATTTCCAGGCACTGTTACCCTAAGCTACTCGTTCACTCAGACTTGGCTCAAGCCTCTGATCCTTCTGCCTTGGCCACCCAGAGTGCTGGGATTAGAGGTATGCTTCATCATGCACTTCAGATCCAGCTGCCTCTAAAAGCCAAACACACTGCTACTGGAGGTGTGAATTTTAATTTCTGTCTTGGGTGCATATGTGTATTACTTTTGAGGTTCTTCCTTTCCATCTGTTGCTCTTTATTCATGGGAACACTAATTAAAACCCTAATAAAAGTCTGGATGACTGTGGATGTGCTTCTGTGTTCTGCATTTGGGGACTTCAGTTCCTATTGTTGGGAGCCTCTGAAGCTGGACATTCATTGTGTGTGGGAGAGGAGGACAGTGCCCCAGTGCCTAGAGCAGTCAAGCTACCATTGTCTTGAGAAAAACATCCTGCCTGGACAGTGTTGGTTCTTAGCCACAAAGTAACCATGCATCTACTAATACTAGCTTTGCAAAGGTATAAATAAATGTCCCTACTGCTGTTCTTGGGGTTCATTGCAAGTCAGGCAAACAGGTGACCCCTTGACCCAAGGGTCTTGTCTTCTTGTCTTCTCTCTTTCCTGCTCCAGTTTCTCCCCAGGGTATACTGGGAGACCAGGTGTTCACATTTGGTACCTGAGCAGGACACCTGGTAAGAGACAAGTGGGCAGCAGGAACACTTCTAAAGAGTGCACAACAGGGGAGAAAAGTGAATTGGTTGGAGCCAGAACTCAACCCATGCGTGCAGGTCCTATCGGCACATCAGGGGTAAAGCATGGGTATGGGGGCTCAGTAGGGCCAGAAATGTGTTCACAAGGGCCAGAGAAACAAATGAGCTTGTAGAGAAGCCAAAAATAGAAAGTTAGATAGAGTTACTGGTAGCTAAAAATGGGACGAATCGACTCTCAAGAATCACAGAGGTATGTATATGTAATAGTGGTTTGGGCATACTTGATTCCCGTATTTTCTTTTCTTTTCTGAATTCTGGTTAGAAAGGGTTTTACAGCCTCAAAGGATTTGACTCATGGTGCTTCTTTTAAATCAAGTCCCAAACCTGAATGGGCAAGATAAAGGAACAGCAGTTAGAGCTTGAACACTCTATCTAACTTTGTTCAATCTGATGAAAGACCTCTTTTAAGTTGTGAATAGCTAGTTCTAAGGAGCCTGATGGGGCTGCAGGAGAAGAGGCACAGGCTGTTCCAGCAGGGTCCAGGGCTCTGGTCCTACAAAGACCCAGTGTGGACTCCCTGGCCGCCTGCACATTCATGCCCACTGGCCCATCTCTGGGGTTTGACACACACAGCCCACTACAGCCCTGTGTGATTGGGCATAAGTAGGAAGGTCATGACTAAAGAGTGCTCTGGCCTCTGTATTACCAGAGGGTTTCTGCCATTCATAACTTATTTGCCTCAAAGTAGTGTCTATGTTTAAAATCTGGGAAAAATGCGATAGCACAAGTCAGAGTAAAGTGACAGACAGCACACACAGTGGCTGTGTGGCTTGGGGAGGGAGAATGCGGGCAACAGAGCCCATTTCCAGTACTAACAGCTCAACCAGCCTTGAGGATATGGAGGAAAAGCAGCAGCCAGAGGAAGAGCCCCAGTATAAAATGTCTCCAGGTATTTCCTGGTATCACTGATGCTGATTAGGCAAGGAAAATCAATGTAATAATGCAGTCTGTCCAAATCACTCCATATTCTTATATAGTTCAATTGAATGTTTGTTCTTTGACAAAATACTAAAATCATAATTGATTTAAGAGGATATATTGGGTTAAAATACAAAAATTTTTTAAAAGAAAAAAAAATTTAAAGTGCTCAGAGATCACTCAGAGTGGCTAGTGAGCAACAAGAGAGCTCTCCTCTCACCGTACAGAGCACTGCAGGATGGACTCTAGACCCATCCTCTGTAGAACATCTGGTAGCTTTCTACTGCCAAGCAGAGTGCCCCATTTCTTAGAATGTAAAAAAATAAAAGGGAAAAGACGTGTGCCTGATCCAACAGTTACACCACACTTTACTCTCCTTAGAGGAGTCAAGCCCCATATTGGGCACCAAAGATGTAAGCAGTTTTCTCTTCATGGGCTGTAGTCCTGAGAGTGGTGAAGAATGAAGTCAAGAAACAGCAGTAGAGGAACAGAACAGCTATGGTGCACCAGAAAGCACAAAGAAAAGCCCTCAGATTTTGAGGGGAGCTCCAAAGTAAGGAGGCCATGTAGGTGCCTGCATCTAGGGACTCTATGGAGCTTTTGGCACATGAAAGGAGCAGATGGGCATGTGAAAAAGCAGATGTGCACCTGCTGCTGCCTGCCTGGCTTCTTGTTGTCCACAGGTTTGATGAGTCCTCTGTCCCTGGTGCTTGAATAGCCTGAGTGGGAGGGAGGTGATGAATTTGCTTATGGATAGCCTTGCTCAGCATGAACACACTGTCTAATGGTACAGAGACAGGATGTTAAACTATACAGCGCTGTTCAGTGATGGGGAGGGATGTGAGCAGGATACTCAGGAGTTTAGAGAAGGGACAGGTCACACTGGCTTCTGAAAAAAGACGCCTACAGAAATGAGAAAAGTTTTCCAGGAGAACATGAATTGAATAGGAAGAACATTCCAGATTATAGTGTCATGGCAAAGACCCAAAGGAAAAAGAGAGATGAGATGGGGAAAAATGAACTGTGTTTGGGATAAAGAGTTTGAGTGAAGGTATTTATCATGAAGTCAGACATGGAGCTGGAATTAAGGGATGACATAGTAGGGAAACATAGATGTGAGAGATAGCAGGTGATAGTTTAAAGATGTGAGAGTGGATTAAACTACTCAAGGAGGATACATAGAATGAGACTAACATTTCAGACAAGGACATCAAACAAAAAAATTAAACAAAATGAGCCCAAGATGGAAATAGAATAAATAAGGAGGTCTAGCACACACAAGAACATCTGGCATATGGAATGTCAAGAGATAACATTGAGGGGGCCGGGGAGATGGCTCAGTGGAATAAGCTCTTCCCTGGCAAGCGCAAGGGCCTGAGTTCAATCCCT